GGACATCTGCGTATGAAAACATGCAATGATAACAGCAAAAAATTGCAATATGAGCACTGATAAAAACATTGTTTCTGAAGACATTGTCCCAGAAATACATACGCAGATGTCCTTAAGGGCACATGACACAGTGGATAAAGGCGTTGGTTAGATCCAGTGACAGGACCCAAAGAAATGTGAGTTCAATACCTGATTAAGACAATGGAGAACTTGGAGAGGGGAATTAACAGGAGATAACTGATAACTGACATCCATTAGACATTGCACATGGAACTAGAACAGTTTACCCCAGCGAGAGAAATTAAAGGGTTTCAACTAATGCTCGCGCCAGATGATGTATGGTTGCTAGCAAAAGGGGTGAACCCAAAGTGTGAATTGCAAATCGGGGATGCCAAAATCAAACAAATGTCGAAATTTGAATATCTTGGAAGTGTTTTAACAGAGGACGAAAAGGGTGGCACTGAAATCCGAAGGCGTATTGGGATGACCAAAGATGCCTTCCGAAAGCCAAGCGGAGTACTGAGAAATATGAAAATGTCACTAGAAACAAGGAAAATAGTACCAAACTGTTATGTGATATCTATACTCCTGTGTGGCAGTGAGTACTAGACAAATCTCCTCGAATATAAGGACGAGACTTGGAGCGACAGAATCCATTTATCCCAACAGTAAGTAAAATGGGGGGGGGTCAAGTGGAATCCTTCTCGGTGCTCCACGATATTTTAGCCCCAAATTATTGAGACTTCATGTCACTTGACTTACAGAAAGAAATCATCAGTTCTCTTTCAGGAAGTTCAGTTCAACTTGCAACTGCATGTGCTGCCATTGTTCCTTGTAACGGATCCCAGGAGGTTCTCAGGGTCCCCAGAAAAGAATGTTGTCTAATTTAGGGCATACCTCTTGTTGGATTTTGCTGCTTCCAAACTCACTGATATGAGTGCATATCATCTGGCTCATCTGTCAACTTCTTTGCATTCTTTCGGGGCATCAATTTTCTTGCCAACTTTTATTTCTTTTGAGCCACATCCAATGGCTCGTCTTCTCAGTTTCGATATCCATTTGAAGTTGATTTTACTTTTCCCAGCTCAATTCCAATGAAATCCCAGCCGTATTCTCAAGCGCTCACCTATGTATCCCCACTTCTGCAGCCAACCTCAACAGGGAAATGTTTAGCCTGCCTCTCCGCGTCTTTGTATCCTTCTACCATTTTTCAGAACCGCTCTTCATTCCAACTTGAAGCAGTATCAATGTTGCCCTTGCGTGAGTTCATCTTGATGAACAACGTTCATCTCGGTGAACAAGTTTGTTAGATCAGGTCTCTGGCGGATTGATATTGGAATACTGGAATCGTGAATTACTCAGCGAAGATTAGATGTGAGCCCCACCTTGAGGTGTACCTGTATTCGGAAAGAGCCATGCCTGTAGGAATTTTTCAACTTATAAAATTAGTCTGCCGGTTCAAATAAACGTTCCGCCGGAATTTTATGTAAATTCCTGGAAGAAAATAATCGTGCCGCATAAAAAATGCCGCACTAAATCAAACCCATGCCATCGAGTAACATTAAAAGAAATAATCTAATCATGTTGGCGCTTGTATTTGATAGACACGGACATAGAGATGTGCTGAAAATTATAGCAATTTCAATTAAGTCATGTGACCCAGTGAATACAGTCATTGGTTGAAGTAATCCAAACAGTGACTTTTGAGTTCAAACCCTGGCCACAGCAGAGGGCACAAAAAATTACTGATTTGAGTTAGTAAATGGATTTAACTGAAATTGAGATATCCAAAAAAAAAAAAAATTAAAAAAAGGTATGGCACGTGGAATTAGAACAATCTACCCACGCGGACTAAATAAAGGGTTCAATTGGAAATTCCAACGTATATAACCTGAAGAATGCCGGAGCGTACAACGGCCGAAACACCGTGAATATGGCAATAAAACGAGGACAACAGTCCGAACGATGTAAATAGTTACAATGCCTCATCTCAGAAATATAGACAGATCCTGACGAAGGCCGGGGCGTACAATTGCCGAAATGTCGTGAATAATGAAGTAAAGATGAGGAAAACGGTCCGAACGATGTAAATAAATCATTTTATTACAGAACTTCAATATTATAGAATAGTAATTTACCCACGCACGCATGGACTCTCCCAGCTATAAATAGGAGCAGGTACTGCCTTTTTGGATAGGGAAGATTCCAGCAGTCAGCTCTGACAGTCGGACCGAACATTCTTGCTGTAACATTATCGTTTGTACATGTTTGTATTACTGTTTTCTGTTAATATATTTGTTTAACTCAATTCCACTCTTTGTGTCTTTATTTCTTGCCCTAACAAGGCCACATCAGTTAACGATTTTTAAAACAGAAACTGCAAATGAATTTATTATAGAACTGCAGTGAAATGAGTAAGAACAGAATTATCAGTGATCAAGAATTAAAATAAGCATTAGAGACAGAAGGGATTGTTAATGGTCAGGAATGGATGCAAGCC